GGGAGAGGCAGGAAGAGGTCAGGCGGATTTCCCTAGGGAAGTGGGGCGGCTTGTTCCCAAAAAAAGGGGCGGAGGAGGAGGAAAGAAATGACCCAGAGGTGGCTTTTTTCCAGGGTTAGTTTCGGTTTGGTTTTAGTCAGGGAAAAGCGGGCCGTGCGAGCTGTCTGCTGTGTGCGGGGAGCGCTCCCCAGGAGCTGACTGGAAGGAGCGCCTCCGGGGAAACTTCCATGAGGGAACTTTCCTGAAAAACACAACAAATGGGGGCTTTAACGAGCCCCGTGTACCCGCTGGGAATTGGGAACACGTACACCATGGAGAATGGCTCCAACCCTCAAACTGGTGTCCTGGCTTTCAGTTAATAAATTTACAAAATCTGTGTGGTTTGGGTGATCCCCAAGTTATCTGTCCAGCTGGTGTTTCCATTAACTTCTAATTACTATAGAATTTACCTAAAGAGCCTTTGGGGTTAATGTCAGTGCAGTATGCAAGCCAGAAATCTGGAGTGCTATTTTCCAAGCAGAGAGCATTCATCTCCAACATTAAGAATTCATGAAAATAAAAACTATGCTATCGTAAGATAGGTAGCAGTATGATCAAACTAAAATTGTATCCGTTGCTTAATTTATTGGATGAAATGTTTTTTTATTGCTGACATTGACTGACAGCTATATATATAATTCTTTTCCATGATTCCACAACATTTACAGTGGAGTTCCCACGTAAAAAGTGAGTCTGTAAGTACTGTTTTATGGGGTCCTGTAATATTTATGTTTTCCTGAGTGCTTGATCTAATTTGCTCATTTTGAAAGGAACAGCTAGTTATTTTCTTCGTAATTGCTACCTCCGCAAATTCAGTCTTGACTCTTTAAGAGTCAAGCTGAGTTCCTTGACACTTCACTGAGAAAGGGGAAGTTGGTGTGCCAATCTTGCAATTTTTTAACATATGTTTAATTTAACTTACATGGGAAGTTCCATGATTAAGGCAATGAATACACTTATTTAAAATAATATTTCACTTACTGTCTTTCTTTTTCTATGCACTTCCTTTTATTCTGGTATCATTTTAGGGAGTATTATTCACACTCATTGCTATTATTCACAAACCACTTTAACCCCACCCACCCCCAACAGGTTTTTGTGTAAAATACATGTACACTTTAACCCCACCCACCCCCAACAGGTTTTTGTGTAAAATATATGTACATTTCTTTCCAGTATGTGCTCACACATTTGCGTGCCAGAGGCCTGTGTTTTCTGTTTTTCTGCTCTCATTGTAGACTGAATTTTTTGCTGTTGTTATCCTGTGCTGTGTTTGTTCTCTTTATTCCTCTTGTTCTTTTTTATTTTATTATTTTCTTCCTTGGTCCCTCTGGACTAATTAAGTAGGAAAACGTTAGTTTGATTTATTTATTTTCAAATTCATGGCTTTGCTACTCATACTACTTGATTTGAAAAAGGGGGATCTGTAGCCATCGTATTTGTACTAGCATGAAACAGATGAGCTGACCTGTTTTTCTGGGTAAAGAGGGCCTTTTAAGAGACTTAGACGTGTCAGCTTTGTGAAATTCCTGATTGAAATAGTTAATAACAAAAACGTTGGTGAGGGGGTTTAAAAAGGACGTGCCATTTTAGTTGATGTTCATTCTCTCGCAGTCTGAGGATGTTATATCCAGAATTCCTTTCCGTACCCGTAAGATTACTCAGAGCTAGTAAATGTTTCAGAGCAGTGACTGGGGAGAGAAATGCTTAATTGCTGGCGAATTTGGCTGCTTCATTCCAATGCATGGCTGGTGCTGGAGCCTCCTTCCAGCAAAAAGCATAGCCCTGTCTGCAGGGTGGGATTTCGCTGCACACCAGCCAGACGCAGCGGTGACCCCGTGCTCCCTGCTCAATTGATGATTGGGGCAGAGGCAAGGCACAGAAGCGATGATTTCGCTTATTGAGAAAGGGGGTCGGGAGGTTGCCACCTCTCCTTTTGAGCAGCATCTGGTAGACAATTTTCTGCCTAATATTGTCAATCATTGCCTTGTTCCCGAAGGTGCCTGACTGTCCTCCCAGCTGGAGTGAGAACTTCAATGCTCACTACAAAGCAAAACAAATGCAAAGTTTACAAAGGGGGTGTGGAGAAGGCAGGTCCCCGAATAAAGAAGTTGGCAGGGGCTCAAATGCCAGGCGTTACGGGAGAAGTGGGACACGCATGATTAGTGCACGTGCTGGTCTGAATACTAAGGCTCAAACAAACAGATCTGTTGCGCACTAAAAAAATGAAAAATGACTGACTGCTTCAGCAGGTCGTGATTTGAAAAACGTTGTGCTTAACGGCGTGGAAAATTGGGGGTTTCTTTCCTTCCTACTGGTGCTAGGCTTTTTTAAAGGCACGGAATAGAAACATAGTGTCGGTCTGGGAAGAGGTAGGAGCAGAGGGGATGTTGCCTCTCATGATAAAAAGCTGGCATTCAGGGACAATGTTTGGCTCTTAACTATTTGTGAATGTAGCGGATTAAAGGCACTGAAGAGCCCTATAGCTAGCACTCCCTGACCGTCCTTAGAGAACTCTCTCCATCGTTTAGCTCCCGTGGGAAGCTCTGAAAGGGCAGTACAGGTTCGGCTTCGGTCCCATTCATACTGTATGTCAGACGGGCTGGAAGAAACCGAGCAAGCAGTCATTTCTACCCTTTGTTTGTATCAAATATTGTGAGAGAAGTTATTCTTACTACAGCTCCAATCTGGCTTCGCCAGGGAAGTGCTAGAAATCTTGAACCAATCTGTTGCGGAGTTGTCAACACTGGCTTCTCGTTGCATTTGATAACCCAGCAGGAGTAAAAAGCAGCTCAGATTACTAATCAAAAGTATTCTCTGAGCCCCATTTTGGGACTGCCCTGCCCATCTGCCCGCTGGACTCCGGGCTGCCCTTCCATCTCCCTCCTCACCCCAAAGGTGTTTCGCCCCCTCTCCCTCTGGCAGGATTGGGTTATGCTCTTCCTCCCTCACCCTGCCTGACTTTTCCGGGGCTCACCTGTGGTCCTGCTCTGCCTGCTGAGCTGAGGGGCCGTGACCTGACCTGCAGGAGTCCTGGGGAGAAGAGGTGGTGTGCTGGAGGATGGAGCAGCTCTGCAGAGGGAGAAACGCCCCTCCGGCAGGCGAGCGGGCAGGCCTGGGGGGTCTCACATGTCCCTAAGACCTTTCCGAGCCTCTTTTCCCCCTCCTACCACCACGTTCCCAAAACTTTAAAACGGTTGTCACTGAACTGCCGGCTGAAAGACCGGTTGTTGGTTAACGACCCCTGCTCCTGTGCTCACCCACCCAAACGGAGCGAGGGGCGGCCAGGCGGGTCCGGAGCGAACCCGACCAAAGGTCTGAGGGCAAGGTTCAGCTGAAGGCTGAGCTGCGGGGCTGCCCTGAAGTGAGGGGCAAGCCCAGCTGCACTTTATCAGCACTACTTTCTACACAAGATCCTATGGTCTCTGTGCTATTATTTTGGGGTGTTCATGCTAGCATATATAATCCAGTTCTGTGAAATTGGATTTATCATTGCTAATTTTTATTCTGCTTTTGCTACATTTAAGACACAAACTTCTGAAAACCTCAATGAAGTCTCTCAGGATTCACCCTGGTATGTGACAGGTAGGAACGTGACATTCAGTAGCAGGGTTTTAATTTAGATACCTGTGAGTGCAGGCCACTACACAAAATCACAATTAGATTGAGGTGGTATTCACGTGATTTGAGGATATTTGAAATAATTTGAAACCTACAAAGTATTTCAATGGTTCTGTTTCTAGGTATCTGTGCCTTTGAGGTATGAGTATGAAGGAACTGGGAATGCCACTTAAATTCAGGGTGGAATTCATGTTTAGGACAAACCTGAAGTGTAACGTTTTGTCACACAGTCAACATAGAGCTAAAACGACAGAGTTCATCCCTTTTTTTCCCCACAAATCTAATCTTTATGCAACATCACCATCACAAAACCACGTCTGCTCCACCAAGGGATCCTCACCAGTGCTGGCAGCAGAGGTGTGAGGTGGTCGGGGCTGACGTGGCATGGCTGATAGAAACCGTGATGAGACGTCTGGAAGTGCCACCTCATGATGTGCAAAGAAATACTGCTGAAGAAGCAGATACCCTACAATTTGCCAGTGATTGTGTTAGGATCATGTCCAGAAACAAGCCGTCTCCGGAAACCTGGAAAGAATGAATGAAAGCAGCTGCTCTGTGCAGCTGGGTGGAGAAAATCGAAACACCTTCTGTAGTTAGACCTGGAAAGTAACTTCGTTATTTCTTTGGGAATGGTTATGCCGTTAGGTATCATTTCCTGCATGGCAAGCACTGCTTGTTGTATCCCAAAGTGAATAAAAACCATTACACGTGATGGGCACATTTGGCACATGGGCATTTCTCTGAAACTGAATTGGGGGGAGCGGGGGGGACAGGTACTGACCTCTGGATATGGAGTTAGCGAGGTTTGCTTGCAGATGGAAAATCATGTATGTATGGCTCAGAAATGATGTGTAAATGAAGGCTCAAAACTTACTTTGAGAGAAAAGGTTAAAAAAAAACAAGTAACAAGCCTAAGGGTGACTAAAATCCTCAGGGGTGATAGTGCTGGCCGGCCCGCTTCAGAAGCAAGCTTCTCATCTTGGAGAAGGAAAAAAAAAAATAGAAGAAAATGCTTCTGCTGCTTTTTTTTTTTCCTTTTCCCAAAAAGTTGTATTTTTTCTCTCCCCGCCGTTTTTGCAGCAGCCCGACCCTCCCCCCCCCCGGTCGGGAGGCCTCCTCCGGCGGGCCCGGGCCCGGCGGCCGCGGAGAGGAGGAGGAGGAGGAGGAGGAGGAGGAGGTGGAGGGGAGGAGGGGAGGGGGGGGGCGGCGGTGCCGGTGCCGCACCCCTCGGCCTCCGCCTCGCCCTCGCCGCGGCCGGGCCCGGCGCGGAGCGGAGCAGGTGGGCGGCGGCGGGGAGGCCGGAGGAGGAGGAGGAGGAGGAGGGAGGGGAGAAAGGAGGGAGGGAGCGAGCAGGTGGGCGAGCGGCGGGGCGGCCACCGGCCCCCCCCCCCCCCGCCCCTCCATGGCCGCCGCCGCCCCCCGGTGAGCGCCGCCGCCCCCGGGGCTCGGTGCCGGTGCCGGGCGGAGGCGGGATGCAGGCGCGGCGCCTGGCCAAGCGCCCCAGCGTGGGCAGCCGGCGGCTGGGCTCCTGCGGGCCCCCCAAGGCCGAGAGCGGCTGGAGGCCGGCCCGCAGGGAGGGCTCGGCCGCGGCGGTGGAGGAGGAGGACGAGGACGAGGACGCGGCGGTGGTGGAGGTGGACGAGGAAGAGGAGGACGAGGAAGGCGGCGGTGGCGGTGCCGCCTCGGGCAGCCCCCCCCTCCGCGGCAAGGGCCCCAAGGTGCGTCCCGGGCGGCGGCGGCGGGGCCCTGGGCCGGGGTTGGGGCTCCGGGGGCGGCTCGGCACCGCCCGGCCCCGGCTCAACAAGTCCCGGACAAAGCGGCCGGGGCCACGGGGAGCCCCACCCGGGGGGTCCCGCAGCGGGTGCCGGGGTCCCGCGGGCACGGCCGTGGCGGGTAAGGGCTGAGCGTGGAGAATGAACGCGCCCCGGAGTTGTAGCGGTGCCTCTCGGGCTCTGCTGGTTGTGGTGTTTGTTTGGGTTTGCAATCCGTGTGCTGACTCTTGCTGAACAGGAGGCGAGGAGAGGCCGTGCAGCGGAGCCGTGCAGCGGAGCCACGGGACCTTTGGATCGAGCCCCGCGTCCGCAGGGAGAAAGCAAAGCGCAGAGGGGAAGCGGCGGCAGCACCAGCTGGCCCCGAACAGCTTGGCTTCAGCAAGTTCGAGGCGGCAGTGCCAAGGCGAGCCCAGCCCAGCTTGGCCACCAGGCTCTCGGTGCCGCTGCCCGGCGTGCTGGGCTGCCAGACACGCTGTCTGACGCGTGGTCGTGGCCCAGGTGTCCGAGCCGTGCTGCTGCAGCTCCCCGTGGTGCTGGGTGCTTGGGCACCGGGCATCAGCAGAGGTTTGGATGGAGGCAGCCCCAGCAGTGAGGGCAAAGGGCTTCTGATCAGCCCAGCAGGCCGAAACAGCGCTCAGCATGGTGACAGCCCGCACGAGGGCTCCCAGAGGGTGCCCTTCTCTTCATCAACCCTCAGCACGCTGTCAGTGTAGGTCAGGTACAGCGTACAAGTTGAGGTGGCTGTTACTTTTTTTTTTTTTTTTAAGTCTGTGTGTGCATATGAGAACATCACCCCTGCAGGTGGTTTCACCCCTGGAAAGTAAATCTCCTTCGTAGATGAGGTCACAGGAGCAGCGTGTGTTATGTGTAATAAACCCTCAAGCCCTCCACAGCACTGTGGTTCAGCAAGTAGGTGCAGGTATTTACTGCATATGCAAGGGTATTTCGAATAACTGTACCTGTATCTGTTTCTATATCTTGTGACCCACTCTGTTTTTGCTTTCAGTGCTTACACTTTTAAGTACTATAAGCTTGGAAAAATATTGCAATTTAATAATTTAAAGAAATTAAACTGTTTGCTTTTGGTACATCTCTTTAGAGACTGATGGTGTAGGAGTGCAGAAAGCTCAATCTAGGGGTTCTTTCAGACAGGTTTAAAGGAAGGGATTAAGTGGGAAAAGCAGGCATGCAGGGCACTGACCGCAGAACTGCGAGAGGATAATAGGCCTGTGCCCATGGTGAGTCAGACTGGATCCCAGGCAGACGGAGAGCTGGCGTGGGGTTGGGAGCATTTCCACCCCAGGAGCTAAGTGAGCTGGATGGGGATCTGCTGTGGAGGTGGGACATGGATTGTGATGGCATCTCCGGAACAGGAGACGTCCCAAAGAACTTTGGAACTCAATCAGAGTCGAAAGTGAGGTCGTTTGGGCCCTATTCTTGCAGTATGCTTTTCTCAGAGCCTGAGAATTTGGTCCAGTAGTCAAAACGAACAGCACCTATGCCATCAGTTGTGTTTTCTCCAGTGGGAAGAAGTCCCCTGTGTGGTTGCACCGTGGTGGTCAGTTCCTGACCACCACTTTAAAGCGTGGGGAGAGATAGGTAGAAGTACTTTCCAGAGACAAATCTCACATCTCCGATTTCAGAAGTCTTGGGAAGAGAGAATAAATAGGGAGGGAGCAAGGGAGTGCTTCACTTTGTCACTGTGGCCACACCGTTATGCGAGAGGTGGAGGCTGGAGGCTGAAGAGCACACATTTTTTCCCCTCTCCTTTTCCCCTGCTGTTCCAACCTGATGCTGTACATAGCTGGTGGGTAGTGCAAGGACAGCCAGGGAAACCTTCGGCATCTGTAAAGCCTTGGCCAGAGCTGCTGGGATCTCTGATATTGTCAGATGTGCCCGTTCGTATGTACTGGAAAAATAAGTAGTGCTGAGGTGCTGGGTGTACCAACTCATTTCACATGTGAAACTCTTCTGGTCTAACCCACAGTTTCTGCTTTGGCTGCATCTAGATTTACAGCCGTTTGAAATCAGACGAGAAAGAAAAATAGCATAATTACCAATGCTTTGTCTCGTAGCATGGATTAATTTGCAGTCCTGTTCATTTCATCTTTTATATGGAGTTTCGGTGAATCCCAGCGGAATGCTTCCTGCTGATACTCCCGCTGCATCAGAACCTGTGTAATTAGTAAGACGGTGCTTTATTTTGTATGCTCATGGCAGTTTCACAAGTTCTTGTTTTTTCCAAGCTTGAGTTGGAAAAGTGGTGGTCTGATGAGAAATCCTTCGGTGAGCAGCCCCCCTCTGCTGTGCCCCGCATGCTTCTTGGATGCTACGTGCTGTGTAGAGACCGCAAAGCAGTGTGCCTGGGTTGGTTCGGACACCATGAACAGCTGAATCTGTGCTCTGCTGGGCCTGCTTCACGCTGTGGGCACTGCTCTTTGTGGTGATACGAGAGGAAGAGGTGGACAGGCTCTGTCAGCCCCCAGCCAGCCCCGCTGCAACCACCGGAGCGCTGGGATTGAGGATTTGGGCTGGTATCACAAGTCTGTGTTTGTTAACTTGCCCAAGTGTCACCGTATTTTCTCTGCTGTTAAAATGGTAAGGGGCTTAGTGGCTTCTGCTTAGCCCACCTGCTTCACCTCCAGTTCTGTGCCCAGGCTCAAACTATGGAAACGGGGCATTTTGAACCCGTCCTGCTGCGGGGCTGCTCCCGCTCCTCCAGCATTATGTTTCCATGGGCTGTGCCCTTTACCTTGCCATAAGCACCTGTAAAATCATTCATTCTAGGTGTTGGGCTTGTGTGTGAGTACTTTTGTACTTCAGAAAGACGAATTTACTGCAAATGGAGTTGTTCCCCCAAATACGCAGCTCCCAGAATATGACACTGCAGGCGTATGAAAACCCACACCGGATAACCAGGATTTCAACTCCTTGCACACTGAGGTGCCCTCAGTTTGTCCCACCTTGCGATGTGGAAATTGCAGCAAGTGCAAAGTGCAGAGCACGGACAAGGCACTGATAAAGGGTCTAAGTGCGGGTGGCAGCTGTTGGTAGCAAACTAGATTAATCCAGTAAAAAGTGCGCTTTTGGTCATACTTTTTTTTTTTTTTTGATGGAGACGTACATCCAATATGTGCAACGTAGAAGAATCTTCAGACTGTGTCTGGAAGCAATTAGTTGCCTCTAATTTGTTGCTTTGTTTCGCTTGGTTGAGCTCTTAGCTCCTTTTCTCTGCGTTCTTTCTAAAGCCAGGTATTAATTTATTGTCATCCTTTAAATCAAATTTCAGATTTACTGTTGGAATGGATTATAGTCACGCCTCAGGCAAAACAAACTTAATTTTTGCTTGATTAGTAAAGTGCTATTGAATTTAGCTTTCTTATGTCCTTACAACTATATTTTAACTGGCAATTTGCAAAGTGCAGAATTCAGCAAATACCAGATCCGCTTCGTGGTGGGGAGATATCAAGAACACTTTAGGAACTTGCCTACTAAGGGTAAACTGAAAAGTGCTCTCAGACTAGTAATGATAGTAACTACGAGTATTTTTAGAAGTGTCCCTATAACAGACCTGGTGTTGTGGTCTGGGAGCAGGACCCTGTTATACTGGGCTGTGTGGGGACCCAGAGCAAGCATAGTGCTACTCTACCTGCTCCTGTGAAGCTGAAGTGTGACACGAGGGAGAACAAATGGATGCTGTGGCAGCCTAGGAAGTTAAGACAATGTACAGCTATTCACATCAGCAGCTTAGCCATGGTTTTGCAAGAAAGTAAACATCATTTTTATCTTTCCAACTGCATTCAGTTATCGACCTCGAGTGTGGAAACCTGGCGAGTGAAGTTGGTCTGGAAACTGCCCAAGTAAACTTGGGATTTTTTTCTTCCTTATTAAAAATTAAAAAAAAAAAAAAAAGTTTGTACATAGTATGGCTTAGTGGAGGCAGAGGAGGGGGTGGTGAGATCGTAAGATTATTTTTTTTTTCCCTGAATCTCCCATAATAAAGAATGAATGAGAGTAATTTGCTGGGGGGTTTTGATGTGGCTTATTTTTTTGTTGTTGGTTGGACACGGACCAAGGGTAACTACTCTGGCCTTACAAGGAGCTGTATTAGAAAACTGTAATTATGGGAGACTAAGGAGGTGTAGCGGAGCTGCTAGCAGGTTGGATCCCTGCTTGCTGGATTGGTTTCACGCCGGCTGAGCTTGGCTCAGAGCGATCCTGTAGCTGCCCTTCGTACGTGGTCTGTACCAGAGGGCAGGTGTGTCCTGCTCCGTCCTTTTCCCTCTGAAAACTCCACACTGAAAAAGGGCTTTTCATGGTCCGGCCATCGATCCGTGTGATTGAAGGCTCCCCACTGTTCGAGCAGGATCTCTGTCCCTCTGAGAGCATTGTAGAGATCTGAAGGGACTGGGACAATAACCTCATGCCCCAAACCATGCAGCCTGGCCGTATCAAAGCAGGGTTTTGCTGCTCGAGCCATCAGGAGCATGCTGGTCCTGGCTGGTGTCCACTCTGCAAATCCTGCTGCGGATTGAGCAATGATGGGTTTATTTATTTTTTCTCAGAGTAAGAGTGCCCGTTGGCTTTCCCATCATTACCCTTGAGTATTTGTAATGCTTTCAAGTGATTTATTGAAGAATTTATTCCTAAAAATAGCCAGCAGCTTGGCCATTCCTATTGCTCGAGGTCAGCCAAAAGAGTACAGAAGGATGGTAGGCAAAGAGAGAGACTGTAATTAGTGTTTTTGTTAATTTTTAAAGATTGAACAGGAAGTACAGAGCGAACGAAAAGCGGGCATTAACTTGTGTGGTGTTCAGCTCAGACGTCGTGGAGCAGTGCTGGTGATGTGGGAGCCCAGTGCCACCCGCCCCGACCAGCAGCCCGCTCACTTTCACCGCTCTGGAGACTGGCCAGGCTCCCCAATCTGAAACGAGAGCCGCGGTGAC